GCGCCCAACGACCAGTGCCACCAAGTTCACACCTATATTACAGCGTGTGTGAGCCCATGACATGCCGCATTCACCTATGTTGATAAAAATAGATGATTGATCATTATCCTAAATGATTCAAATGAGTTTAATGCCTTAAATGATTGTCATTTAACCATAGCATATCCAAATTCATCAGAATCGCGCAAACAATTCAATGATCATGTTTTCACCGCCCAATTCATTCATCTAAGCCATCTAACTCATTAAAACTTTTGTCAAATCATCTTAAACATCAATTGATCTTTTGTGTTGTTGTGCACACCCTAAGTTTTGCCTCAATGGGGAGCTAGTCACCGTATGCATCATACTGTTGTTTTTTCACTTGTGCAGCAATGCCAATTTGTTGTCCACATTATCCACACATTAGTCACCATGGTGACTATACCATAATTTAACATGGGCACACCAGCTTACCCTGCGCAAACTCCGAATCTTTAGCACCAACTTTCTGCCCTTGTATTTATTCCCATTCCAATGACAACTAATCCAACTCATGGTATCCTCAATGAAACTCATCATGCTCTTCCTTGATCTAATCAACCAGAAATATTCCACTGGCAAAACTAGACAGTTTACCTTCATGTCCAACCTCCCCCTCCTGCTGTACTGCTGAAACACTCGCTTGCACAGAGCTGACCGCCACTCCTTAATCCTCCCGGCTCTCTTCATGCTCCACAGGTTCCATCCAGCCAGACTTACGAAGCTTTGGGAATGCAAAAGAACAAATCCTCCATGGCTGCTTCCCGCCAAGGTGATGTAACTTGGTTTCAAAACCAAAATCACCACTGGCCAACTTCACAGCTGAAATCACTCGAGCTTGTCTTTGTCTATAAATGTGCTTCAAAACTGATGGTCGCGATTCACCAGCTTCAACACTTGAATGAAAGTAATATTTCCATCCGTGATGCCTTGTCTAGCCATTGAAACTTTCTCATCCTCCTTTGTCCATCAACTCACATTTTGCCCTTTCCTTTCCTCTTGGCATCTTTGTTGTCTCCTTTCTCCAATCAATAAAGTGTTCCAACACCTTGCCAACAACTCCTTGAGCACATGACTCCTCTTTGAACCTCCAATCAATGTTAGATGCCAAGGTATGATCCAAAAAGAAGGAACCAACCATAGCACACTAGGGCAAACTTTGACTCACAGATGAGTACTTACCCTTTCCATCGTCAGCCTTTATATATCATTCACCAGGAAAGTAGCTACACATCTTTCAAGATGCAAATCTGCAGCCCCTATTAGCAATACAGTCCCATACCTGTATGCCAATGGTGCTCTCCACTTCTCACACAACCATCAAGCGGAAGTAGAAAACCAGTTTTGAAGCCATGAAACTGATCCCATACTCAGTTCACTTGCCAGCTCCAAAACAAAGTCAACCAACACAAAACGATCCTTGGTACCACATCCATGAAACACTCATACCTTGGGCTATAAGCAACGAACATACCACACAAATTACCAAACTCTGAATTCAAGGCATATCCAAGAATAATCTATCGGATCTTTGCAGGTCGAATCCTACTCCCCGATTACCTCAACACTGCTTGTCCAGGACTGACCACCACACATGTATCCTCCTAGTCCTCTTCAGACCCCACAGGCTAGGATCAAAGACCTCTCAAATCCAAATGGGATACAGACCTCCCACCGGTCAATATTCAACCAATCATCATAACATTGCAGTCCCATACCTGCAAGCTAGATGAATGTCAATAGCTATGAAACCGACAAACCACCTCATCCTTCCATTCTCAATCCAGTGAGTTGAAATTGCACCGAAACCCATAAAGTCCAACATTCTCACCTCCCAAATCCAATGTCCCTATTGTGGCATTCATAATGTGTGACACAATTGCTAACAAGTATTTAATAAACCTTTCCAGCACATTCAAAAGAAGTGCCCATTTGCCAACCTCAAGCTTCCAATAGATCCACAAAGGAATCCAAAATCTCCAAGAACAACAAGAATGTTGCTCCAACAAACTCAAACACATAAACCATTCGAATCAACATAAAGCAATCCAAGAGAAACACAATCATAACCATCGAATCATCAAATCATCAGAATGTCAAGGTAGAAAAACCTTGAGATCACCAAAGATCACCCATCACGCTCAACCACCAATCACCAAACCGATCACCATCAGATATTGATCACTTCCACTTGCCACATCACATATATGCACACACTACCATAACCACTAACTATTGGGACATTCTCCTTGGGAAAATTCGATCCACATCATCCGCAACTTCATCACTCATATTGTGGTGGGCCCAACTGCAAAATGCAGCCCCAAATCTCAAAGGACAAGGCCTGGAATCAATATTGACTCCCTCAATAATGAAGGTCACAGGCCACATCCGTTTTGCATATCTTCCAATGGCACTTTGATGTCCTTACACATCACATTCGTCTTTTTCCACATTTCGATATTTCAATCACTTGACATCCCCATCACTTTTCAACCATCATCTTTTGCCATCAAACTCATAAGTCTTTCCATTGTTACCTAAATACCAGCCTCTCATGGCTATATTGAAGTGAACCAGCCCCAACACAGCAATATGAAACGCTCTACCAAACATGATCCCTACAGAATCCACAGGAGCTTACTAGCTCCGAAACCATGTTAAAGTACATGCCCCTCAGTGATCGCCCCGAAGGACCCATAGATCACAGGCTGAACTTAATCTTCGCTCCATTAAAACTCGCGTTGCTTTGAGAGTTCGAGATCACCATATTGAACTGAACAAATAAGCCATTGCTTAAATTGATGATCAATCATAATCAACATCGTCAAGAAATCAATCCTGATTGAACAACATCACGTCACTTCAAATGCTCAGTCCACATGCATCACCCTTTCAACCCAACATGTCCAACCATTACACATGACTTGAGATGTCCAAACAACATTTGCTATCACTTTTCCACCTCTTGCCAAATGCAATGTTGCCCTTTGCACCACACCTTGCTCTGAATCCAAAGATCCATCATCCGACAATTCAATTTTGATCCCTTTGATCCTCCTTATCCACGCTGGATCACTTCAGAATATTCTACAAATCCTCCAGATGAATCTCCACCCTAGCCTGAACAAGTTTGCTCATGGGGCCCTAGTCCGAATTCGGACTCCTTCTTGGTGCTCCAGTACTTAAGGTCTTCTAGGAGGGGAGCCCTATTGGGCCCCCGGGCCCAAGAACGAGGGGGTGCGGGCGGTTGGCACTGTTCTCAAATGGACCAGCGTCCCCCCCCTTTTATCCTCTGCCACTGCCCCATAACACCACTCCCTTACACTATCACAACATCCCTTACACCATAACATCCTATGCCTTATCCCATAGACTTTCCCCTTACACCATTGCACTCTAAATGCACTTCCCATTGAACTACCCTATTCAAATGCCAAATCACACTACGAACTCACATATTGTGCTTGTAATATTCCCCCTTCCCAGCAGAATCCCCCACACTCGCCAGAACTCACCGCATACATCTTTTGTTGACACCATCCCATTACTCCATCACCGTTTTCCCTTATCCCATGCACAACACTAGCCACCAACGTACTTTACACCCTATTCCTCTTTTCACACTTCTCTCACGGCGCCCACAGCACCCCACAGCCTTCACACCCGTTGCCAAGGGTGGCAGTATGGTGACACGCCCTTATCATAATCCATCACACCTTTGCCACTATCCTTATGTAATCCCCATGGCACACCGCGCCCAACGACCAGTGCCACCAAGTTCACACCTATATTACAGCGTGTGTGAGCCCATGACATGCCGCATTCACCTATGTTGATAAAAATAGATGATTGATCATTATCCTAAATGATTCAAATGAGTTTAATGCCTTAAATGATTGTCATTTAACCATAGCATATCCAAATTCATCAGAATCGCGCAAACAATTCAATGATCATGTTTTCACCGCCCAATTCATTCATCTAAGCCATCTAACTCATTAAAACTTTTGTCAAATCATCTTAAACATCAATTGATCTTTTGTGTTGTTGTGCACACCCTAAGTTTTGCCTCAATGGGGAGCTAGTCACCGTATGCATCATACTATTGTTTTTTCACTTGTGCAGCAATGCCAATTTGTTGTCCACATTATCCACACATTAGTCACCATGGTGACTATACCATAATTTAACACGCAATTTCCAAAACGTAAGCTTTCTCTTGCGGACGATGAAGGGCGCACAAATTTCCAAGCAATGGTTGGCCGATATTCCAAGATTCTTGCACCGCACAGCTCCCAGCTGCGCGCCGTGCAACAAGCAGCGAGAAAAGCCAAGAAGGCGCACAGCAAACCAGGGTACCAAATGTAAGCAAGGCAAGGAAACGTCAAATGTGGCAAAATTGACGTAGTGTCATCCCTTAATGCGGCCAGCGTTGTCCATCAAGAGCCAGGGAGGTGGAATTTTATTGCTGGCACGTGAAAGGGGCCCTTCGCCTGAGCCCCAAGGCAACAAACCAGCCCGCCTGTCACCCGTTCCCTCCCAGAAGCATCGTCTACAGCGGTCCCATACCGCGACACCGCGACACCACAAACTTCTTAAGTCTTTGCAAGGCGCAGGTTTGACAGCACAGCCTGCAGCCATACATCACCAGAAAGAATCCCCCCGCCCCCATTCCCCAACCTCCAATCACCCGCCTCCCAGTCCAAATACAAATAATCTACATCCCGCGATTGCAAAACGTGCCCTCTTGGCTGCTGGCATCCAGCGATCTGACATCAACCACCAAAACAAAAGCCCCACATTGCTCATGTCCCCCTCCCCCCCACCCCACCCCACCCCAAGCTCCAGCGTCAGGACACTGAGACAATGCTCTCCGAGCTTCACCCGCAGTTACTCTGACGACGGCTTGCTCCCGCTTTTTCCCTGCCACCCGCGCCCGTAGTACATCGACGCCAGGGTGCCCGGGTCCATGCCCAGCGCCCACGCCAGCAGTATGAGCTGGTTGGCCACGAACGCGAGCCCCACGCCCGTCTTGACCCACCTGAGGGGAAGTATGCTCGTCAGCGCTAAAGGAATTGCAGTTGTTGGTTCATGAGATCTTTTGTATCAATCGGAACTGCAATCACGTGGGCGTGGGCACAGCTCTTGTAAAGGCGGGCGATGTCAACAAACGGACGGCCCAGCGCCGACATCTTGTTGTCCTGCGCACACAATTTCTATCCGCATGTACATTACATTACAAACGCCAGTGCTGTCATATATACATGCTCATTAACATTGTAGTATTGTGAGAATGTGCAAAGATTTGATGTGCCTGTGTATATTACAACATTGGCAATTAATTCTGTTAGTTCAGCACTGTTAACAAGAGACTCTAATTGACAGTGCTGAGCTGCCAAGATTGTGCATTTGCGGTCCTTGACGCGCAAGCACAGAACCAAGCTCTGCAACCTCGGCCTTGTTTCTTGGGCCATTCTTCGCACTTGAATCTGCAGGTGTGACCCACCTGCGCCCAGAAGTCTGCAGGCAGCGCTGCACGATGGCCGGCCGGCCACGCCGCTTGAGCCTCAGCACCAGATCCACGTCCTCCAGCAGGGGCTGGTTCGCGAAGCCACCCATCTGGCGCAGTCTCGAGGACTCCACGAAAATGGCCTGATCGCCGTAGGGCAGCCAGAACAGCCGCGTGCGCCACCACACGCACCACTCTATTGCCCGCATCGCCATGCCCGCCACCTGAAGTATCGGACAAGGGTATGCCCTTGTCATTTTTGCTTTGCAAGGGCGAGAACGACAGGAAGTGCAACAGGAATTCGTGTTGCAGGCAGTGTGTTCGAGTCAATTTGCCCTCCCCTTTTACGCAGTGCAGAAAATATTGGCGCGCACGCACTGGCGTTGTGCCGGTGGCACAGTGCAAGAAGTCGTTCACTTAGTGGTATTAGCAGGTCACTGGAAGCTCGACAGGAACAGTTGGAGACATAATTCGCCCGCCACGCACACGTAATCCGAATCGATCGGTTTACATCTTTGCACAAATCCGCTGCATCGCATATGTAGCCTGCAAAAGCGGTGGTTCAGCCTAAAGGGGTTTACCAGCCCCAACTGCACTCTACCGCATTCTGCTTCAATGCACAAGACAGGCACAAAAGGATGGCGCCTGTGCGGGCCACGAATTCCTGCACCCATGTTTGCAACTCCAAACGCCCGTGCTCCCATTTCCTTTTGCCGTTTATTCTTTATTAGAGGATACGAACAGCACAGCCACTCAGAAAGCACAACCAACAGACAGCAAAAGCAGGCAAACAACAATTTAGCTGCAAAAGCAACTCACAACAGAGTCGGACCGGGAGCGACGGGGCTTGCCTCCCAAAGAAATACGACAGAACAGCATCAGTGTAACTTTGTGCGAATGCCCATGTTGCCCGACACAGGGCTTGCTTTGCCATGATTTGGCAAATACAATTGCAACGGATTTTTAAAAAAATGCCCATGTTGATGACCAAAAGAACCTTGCGACTCGTCCCAGCCGGGACTCTTCCCCGATATTCCGAGACACTGTCTACTGGCGATCTTCAAAGGGTCAGAAAGCATCAACGGTTTCCTTGTGAAGACAAGCAACACTAATCGTCGACAAGCAAGCACAGGGGCAGCAGTCTTCCCACAAGGAAAAAGGCGCTCTAGTGTCGGCTACGTTTGTTACTACGTGTTGTAGTAACAAATGTAGCCGACGCTAGAGCACCACCGGAAATGGCACCCAAGTCGCATGATTTGGTCCCATTATGCATCACAGCACACCATTTACACAAGATTAATGACATAACATACTATTCAATGCACTACAGTCGGCAAATAAGCGCGGTTCAGGCGGAGATCAAAACTGTGAGTGATGGCCAATTATGCCAGCATGCAACCGATAACCTTGGCACGTTCAACTCTTCCGCATCCAAAAAAACTAATGTTACGGTTTTTGCTCCACCTGTTTTTAGAATGTTATTTTTCAAAGTTTTGCATTGCTCCTCAAAAATACTCAAAGAGCGATATTTGTTTTATTCCTTTCTCCGCAGTAAATGGCCAAGCGTTACGTTACTTTGCGAAAGGGTTGAATATACCACGCCGTGCTGAACCCCTGACCACTTACGTCCGTGCGGATGCCGGCAAAGGCGCCCCAGAAGCACCCGCTCCCCCTCGACGCGATCGCGCTCTTGATGTGTCTCCCATAGCCTGGAGGCATCAGGGTATCAGCATGGCAGAACAGCGTCCAGTCGCCACTGGCGGCTGCAAACCCGGCGTTGAGCTGGATGCCTCGGCCGCGTGTGCTGGACACTACCTGTCACCACACAGGAGCAGGGGCCCTCGCTCCATGATTCTGGCGTGAGCGGAACAGAGCTCTATTGACATTCCTTGTATTCTCTATAGGGGAATTTAAATTTTAGGCAAAAGTTGCATATCTTGCTAATCGGTGTCTGATGCAGAGCAACATGTTGCAGAGGCATGTCCAGTGACACATTCTTCCTTTGTGAGCCCCGAACCAGTGGCGATCCTGATCCTGAGATACAATGGACACATTCAATGAACAGTTCAATTCGAATCATCTTGCAACGACCCTGTTCCCACCAGCCCTGGTGACCATTTGGCGTTGATCATACTGCTGCCTGCCTGGCGTTGCCTTTTCTGTCTCATTTAAGACAATTCCTTCTATAGTGACATGTACGGAAACACATGTAAGTTATGTAGTCATGCCATTGTCTACTGATCTTGGACGCAGTTAGCACCTTACACACTGCCCAGTGTGAACCATTCTCGGTGTCCCAGCAGCAAGGACTGCAGCAGGCTGTCGTTCAAATGATTGCCTAACATCCATCGTGATGGATTCTAATTGCAGCATGCCATTGTGGCAGCGAGTGGGCATCGAAACTGCCTGTGGCAATGTACTGAAATTATCGATAACTGTGCTGGCCCACTTGACCGATATTGACCACCCTTATTGACTGTATGGGGGTACCATGGGCCATCGGCTGTATTCTACCCCAGGCATATATGTGGAAGTTGAGCTGCAGATGTTCAGGACAGGTGATCGTACCTTGAATTGTGCTTGCATGGAACCTGCAAGAGGGCATGATTTTTGCATATTCAGGCAGTACTGCATCCATCAGATTTGGGTTCCATTCAGCAAACTCAACATGGTTGCGTCCAATGCAGCGTTCCATGAACACAGACAGTATCAATCCGGCCCAGGAGCTGCATGGCCATTTTCCATGCCAGTCTTGCCAGGACCCAATAGCGCACCTTCGCTCCCATCCCCTTGGCCACCTTGACAGTGTTGTCAGAGCTGCTGCCGTCCACTACTATGATCTCAAGATCGGTGTCCAGACCATGGTCTCGTAGGCTGAACATGCAGCATGAAGCCATAAAGACAAGGCAACATGAGTAGATACTTAGAAGTGGAAAGACAACGAGAGTTCTTTGCACTGCGCAGTTCATCGCTGTGCTGCTGTTCTGATGCAGCAGATTGCTGAAATTATGCTTGATAATATCAATCAAAGAGAATTTTACGGCTTAGTCCCAACAAGCACACACAGGCCGAAATGAACATCTGGCAGAGGATGTGCACATGAATGTTCTGCTGGATGCCAGCACAGTTTCATTTCTGCACTCTGGCAGTTCTTCAAGGCGTGGATGGGAACATAGACACAAGGGAAGTGCAAGGTAATACCAGCAATTGTGACAACCAAGAGTCAATATAAATGGCACTGTTGCAAAGATTTGTGGAATGCTTCAGTGCTTGAATGTGGACAATACTGGCACGATGTAGAGTGGATAATTTCAGGGTGTGAATACATTGAAGATCTGCTGGCTTGGGACAGAGGCACGCAATCGTGCAAAGCATTGTCTGCTGCAAATCGCAACAACACAAAGCAAATGGGCAGCTGTCATGTGACTTTGTTGAGAACATTGCCGTATCCAGTGGATGCTCAGGCCACAGGCTAAACTACACAAGCAAGGTACAGTGGGAATATAGTCTTATCTCCCAAGGGTGTATTATTTACTGCCCCCCAACCCCAATCGCATCATCTCATCCAGAAGCAATCGTGCAACACTACTTGTTTGTGCGCTTCAAATTAATGCACCCTACGCAGGCTGCAACCACAAATGCAGGGGTTGCAACACAACATGCCAGGATTTCAGCAGCCTTGGGGCTCCAGAATAGGCTACAAGAGTGCAAGGCCTGGGGATGTTCAGCAACAAACTTTAGACTGATGCTTCCTTCATGTTATGCCATACACTACCTCGCTGCTGGGCCACATTTGATGGCAGTTTCCCATAGACTAGTTTCATTTGCACACAACAAATCCTACACCTGTTCTACCTTGAATTTGCACAGCAATTTCAGTTTTGCCTAAACGTGTCTTTGAATGTCATGGACAGGTGCTCAATTCCATTGACTACAAACTTGTCGTAGAATGAAAAGGCAAGCCCTATCATGTCATGCACAGGTGCACTACACTGTTATGCCCCAAACCTGTTTCGTTTGCGTAAATTTGCCACGTCAAGTTGAAAAAAGTTAATCAAGGTGGTCTCAGCAATTGGTCACAAGGGCAAAAATTTGAGTCGCTGCGAGTGTCCAAAATCATGGTCTGTGAAATGATGAAACTGAAGCTCAACAGCAGTGGTCCAGTGGGACCAGCACCTTTGAATCGTGTATCCGATGTTCACCTCTTCATTCTGCCAGTGACAAGACAGAACACGATCTCAGTTGAAACCTGCAATGGGCATGGGAGGCGATGCACATGGAGGGATGGGCAACAGTGCGCGATCACACCCACAAAGTGCTCTGTCTAAGTGCTTTAGGTAAGTTTGCCTTTCAAAGGCAGAGCGGGGCCCTTGCACCGTGACGGCATTGATAGACAAGTACACATCCAAAATCGGTGCTCTGGCAGCAAACCCATTCTCTTCCAAGGCGAAAGAGTGCAGGGTGCGACTCTTGACTTCGCTTGATGTTGCTACATGAGGAACCAAGGGGGGGCCTCTGCCCAGACCAATTCAATTCCATGTTGAAATGGGCAGCTCGCATCGCACACCGCGCTGTTCTGCAACGCCATGGAACAAGCCTCCAACACGCGCTATGCAGCACTGGACAAATGTCCTGCCGCTCATGCAGCTGAACCACTCTTAAACCAGTCCCAACGGTGCTGCGTGGCACAATCGACCCGCCGCACACCCCTCCCCCCCATTTCTCCGCCCCATCCCAATCCCTGAATCGAAGAACCAACACCGAGAAATCAGCCCCGCGCCGAAAACAAAGACACGCCCAGCAACCCGCAGCGCAAGGGCGTCGAAATTCCAGCTCGGGTTTTTGCCGTTCGCGCCCATGCCCCCGCCCCCTCCTGATGTCCCCCTCCTCTCCACATATCTCCCTCCTCTCCACATTCACCCCGCGGACTCACCAAGGCCGGCACCACGATCGACAGGCTGCGCAGCGGGGCGACGTCCTCTGCCATGTCGACGAGCTGCGGCCGCCGCGGCCAGAGGCCGCCCCAATGGCAAGGTGGAAAGGCGGGGAGGCCGCGGGCGAGAGGCATGAGGAGAGAAAGGTGTGAAGGGAAGAGGGAGCGAAACTGATGTGACGTGAAAGGGGGGTGGTCGATGGTTGCGGGCGTGGTGCCAGAAACACGTTCCCCGAAACCACTGAAAATGGCGAGGATGCGATGCCGCTAATTGGG